CACAGCGCTCACCATAGCACATACCCTCCCCAGTGTCCATCACCCAGTCACCCCATCCCTCCTACCCCACCCCCCACTCCAGCAACCCTCAGCTTGTTTCCTGCGATTAAGAATTCCTCATATCAGTGAGGTCATATGATACATGTCTTTCTCTGACTGACTTATTTCGCTCAGCATTAACACCCTCCAGTTCCATCCACGTTGTTGCAAATGGCAAGATCTCATTCCTTTTGATGGCTGCATAATATTCCATTGTATGTATATACCACATCTTCTTTATCCATTCATCTGTCGATGGACATCTTGGCTCTTTCCACAGTTTGGCTATTTACACCACATTTTGTTTATTCATTCATCTGTCAATGGACACTTGAACTACTTCTACCTTTTGGCTGCTATGAACATGGGTGTATGACTATGTCTTTGAGATCCTACTTTCAATTATTTTAGTAGATAACTAATATCTACCCAGAAGGGGAGTCACTAGAGCACACGGTAATTCTATTTTTAATTTTTTTGAGGAAACTCCATACTATTTTCTTTTTTAAAGATTTTATTTATTCATTTGAGAGAGAGCAAGACAGAGTGAGCACAAGCAGGGGGGAGGGGCAGAGGGAGAGAGAGAAGTAGACTCCCCACTGAACTGGGAGCCCGACGTGGGGCTCGATCGCAGAACCTGGAGATCATGACCTGAGCCCAAGGCAGAGGCTTAACCATCTGAGCCACCCAGGGGCCCCTCCATACTATTTTCTACAGTAGCTATGCCATCTTACACTCCCACCAGTGGTGCACAAGGGTTCCAATTTCTTCACATCCTCATCAACACTCATTTTCTTTTTTTTATTTTTTATTTTTTTTTAAGATTTTATTTATTTATTTGACAGAGGCAGAGACAGCGAGAGCAGGAACACAAGCAGGGGGAGTGGGAGAGGGAGAAGCAGGCTTCCCGCCGAGCCGGGAGCCCGATGTGGGACTCGATCCCAGGACCCTGGGATCATGACCTGAGCCGAAGGCAGTCGCTTAACCAACTGAGCCACCCAGGCGCCCAACACTCATTTTCTGTTGGTTTTATATATATGTGGCCATTTTAATGAGTGTGAAGTGATAACTTATCATGGTTTTTTCTTAAAGATTTTATTTATTTATTTGAGAGAGAGAGACAGAGATAGTGACAAAGAGCAAGAGAGAGCATGAGCGGAGAGGAGAGGGAGAAGCAGACTCCCTGCAAAGCAGGGAGCCCGATGCGGGGCTCGACCCCAGGACCCCCGGATCATGACCTGAGCAGAAGACAGACGCTTAACCGACTGAGCCACCCAGGCGCCCCTATCATGGTTTTGATTTACGTTTCCCTAATGACCAGTGATGTGGAGCATTTTCTCATGTGCTTGTTGACCATGTGTAGATCTTTGGAGAAATGTCTATTCAAGTCCTTTGTACATTTTAGAAATTGGGTTGTTTTGTTGTTGACTTTTAGGACTTTTTTCTATATTCTAGATATTAACCGCTTATCCGGGTATGTGATTTGCAAATATTTTCTCCCATTTCATGGGTTGCCCCTTTACTCTGTGGATAGTATCTTTTAATAGGCAATCAAATATTTCTACATTTCTAGTAGTGGCCTCTCCAGAAGTCTGTAAACTCTATTTCAAAGATTCCTCAAGTGACACGATGGCCACGTTTGGGTTTGGAGGACCCAGACCTTCCAAGCAGAAAAGGCCAGTTGCCCAGAGAATACCTGATATTCAGGTTGTCTCTCTTGACCCCAGAAGTAGGAATGATTCTCATGTAATTTAGGAAGAAACTGAGGCCCATGGGGATTGTGACAGCTGCAGAAATGCCAAGACTCTTGGGAGGTGAGTCATAGTTCAGAACACTTGTGTTTCCCCAAGGGTAAACTGGAAGTGAATACGCCTCTGTGGGCATCATAAGCATGGTGGGAAACGAAGCCCAGAGAGCCACGTCATGTCAAAGTTGGAGGCAAAGAAGTGTTGGAGACCCACTCCTGGGCCAGGGCTCCTACAGGGCTCCACGTTGGTGTGGGCCTCCCTAGGTCCCAAAGGGCTTTCACAGAATCTTCTTTAAACCTTACGCATAGGGCGCCTGAGTGGCTCAGATGGTTAAGCATCTGCCTTCGGCTCAGTTCATGATCCCAGGGTCTTGGGATCGAGTCCCATATCAGGCTCCCTGCTCAGCGGGGAGCCTGTTTCTCCCTCTACCTCTGCCTCTCTCTCTTTCTCTCTCTCTTTCTCTCTGTCTCTCATGAATAAATAAAAATCTTTTAAAAAATACCCAAAACTGGGCGCCTGGGTGGCTCAGTCGTTAAGCGTCTGCCTTCGGCTCAGGTCAGGATCCCAGGGTCCTGGGATCGAGTCCCACATCGGGCTCCCTGCTCCGCGGGAAGCCTGCTTCTCCCTCTCCCACTCCCCCGGCTTGTGTTCCTGCTCTCACTATGTCTCTCTCTGTCAAATAAATAAATAAAATCTTTAAAAAAAACAAAAAAAACAAAAAACCCCAAAACCTTACGCATAGATATTCCTATCCACAGTCTACCATGTTATGTCACCTTACAAGCACTGGACTTGGAATTGAAAGCTTTGCTCTCAAACCTCAGCCCTGCCATTGAATAGCTTGAGCCGCCAGGCCAGGCACTTTGCGTGGCTTGTAATCTCTCTTTGTAGAAGGTGGATGAGAACTGCAAGCTCAAAGCTTAGGAAAGCCCCTCTCTAGCTCAGAGCCTGGTACATAATAAACATTCAATAAATGTGGTTGGGATCTGAGGAGGATGTGAGACCCACAGAGGAAAAATCACTTACAATGGCCCTGGTATTCGAGAACTTATGGGCAAACAATGTGCCTGGTACACATTTTCTTAGCAACCATGTTTTCCCATTTTTAAGATACAGAAACAGATTCGGAGAGGTTAAGATATTTAACCAAGCTCATACTGTTAGAAACCTCAGATTTGAACACAGGTCATTTCCAAGGACCCACTTTCTACCCCCCAACTTTTTACTAAAAACATACAGAAGAGTTGAAAGAATAATTCAATACATACCGACACATTGTTAACATAGGCTACTTTAGCATGCTTTATTTTTTTATTTTTTTAAAGATTTTATTTATTTATTCATGACAGAGAGAGAGAGAGAGAGAGGCAGAGGGAGAAGCAGGCTCCCAAGGAGTAGGGAGCCCGATGCGGGACTCGATCCCAGGACCCTGAGATCATGACCTGAGCCGAAGGCAGACGCTTAACCATCTGAGCCACCCAGGTGCCCTAGCATGCTTTCTTTAAATGTATACATGGTTGGAACTACTTAGAGTAAGATACAAACATCATGTCCTTTAGCCCTGATATGGAATGAATGTTTATGTCCCCCCAAATTTATATGTTGAAGCCCTAAGACCCCAATGTGGTGGTATTTAGAGATTTGTCTTTGGAAGGTTATTAGGGTCAGATGAGGTCACAACGGGATCAGTGCTCTTATAAGAACAGACACCAGAGGGGTGCCTGGGTGGCTCAGTCTGTTAAGCGGCTGCCTTCGGTTCAGGTCATGGTCCCAGGATCCAGGGATTGAGCCCCACGTGAGGATCCCTGCTAGGCGGGGAAGTCTGCCTCTCTCTCTCCATCTGCCTCTCTCTCTACATCTGCCTCTCCCCCCTACTCATACTCTCTTTTGCTCTCTCTCTCAAATAAATAAATAAAAATTAAAAAAAACAAAAAACAAAAAAAAAAACAGACACCAGAGAGCTCTCTCTCTCTCTTTCCCTGTGTACATGCACTGAGTAAAGGCCATGTAAGGACACAGGGAGAAGGCAACTGTCTGCAATCCAGGAATAGGGCTCTCACCAAGAACCCAACCATACTGGCACCCTGACCTCAGACTTTCAGCCTCCAGAGACGTGAGAAAACGAAATTCTGTTGTTCAAGCCATCCAGTGTGTGGTATTTTGTTATGGCAGCCTAAGCAGACTAAGACAATCCCTAAATGCCACCGGGTACATCCGCTGAGAATGAAAGACATTCTCCTACATAATCACACCCAAGAAAACTAGCAATGATGCTGTAATATCTAATACCCTATCCAAAGTCAAATTTTCCTCAGTTGTCTTAAGAACGTCTTTTTATAGCTGCTTTTCAAATGTTAACCAGATTCTGGGCAAAGTCCACACATTATATTTAATATCTTTTTATCTAGAACAGTCCCACTGTCTCACCTCCCAACGCACCTTCCCATCCTTGGCAATTGTGAAGAGCCCAGGCCACTTATAAAATGTACCACTTTCTAGATTTGTCTGATGTTTCCTCGTGTCTAAACACAGATACAGTATTTGGGGGCAAGAATTCCAGTAGGAGATGCTGTCTACTTTATAATGCATCATATCAGGAGGCATCTGATGGCAGGTGGTAAGGCTAAGCTGGAACACTTCGTCAACGTGGTAATGGGCATCCACTTTCAACCTCTGCACAAAATAAGAGCCACCAGGTTTTCAACTCAGCTCTTCTTTTTTTTTTTTTTTAAGATTCTATCTATTCATTTGACAGAGAGAGACACAGCAAGAGAGGGAACACAAGCAGGGGGAGTGGGAGAGGGAGAAGCAGGCTTCCCGCCGAGCAGGGAGCCCGACGCGGGGCTCGATCCCAGGACCCTGGGACCATGACCCGAGCCGAAGGCAGACGCCCAACGACTGAGCCACCCAGGCGCCCCCAACTCAGCTCTTCTTGACACCAGCAGAGTCAGCTGCGCTTGGAACCCGAAGTTCAGGGTTCATCGCCCAAGATTCCCTCTGGGTCTCCCAAGCTCAGCTCAGGCCCAGCTCAGCCCTGGGCAGGTACAGCATGGCCCCGCCCCGGCCCCGCCCATCCTGGCCCCGCCCCGCCCTCGCCCATCCTGGCCCCGCCCCGGCCCATAGCGGCCTCCCAGCCCCGTCGGCCCAGCGGGCGGAACCAATAGTGTCTGGCACTCCGCTCGACGTCGTCCGTCCGGACTCTGAATCCCGGAGCGCCGGGTGCACGAGGACGCTGTTCTCCGTGGGCTTCCGGGCGCACGCAGTTCTGCCGCCGCTGAGAGGGCGGAATTCCCGGTGCTGCTGCGGTGTCTGTCGGTGCCCCGGGTTCAGCCGCCACCATGGGGATCCTGGAGAAGATCTCCGAGATCGAGAAAGAGATCGCTCGGACGCAGAAGAACAAGGGTGAGGGCCGGCCTGGCGGGGCCTTCCTTTCTGCCCGCCTCAGTTTTCCTGTCTGTAAAATGGGGGAACAACTCCAGCGATAGAGCGGAACGGGCTCGAAGGCAGCAGAGAAGTGCCAGAGACGTGACCAGGTTTCGCAGCGCGCTGGAGGCAGGCAGGACCAGGCGGGATCCTGGTCCCAGCGCTCTGGTCTGATTGCAGACGGTCGCTGTGAGATCGGCTCGGTGCCAGACCAGGTGCCCGATAGAGAAATCGCAGCGCGCAGCCAGCGTCTGACCCAGAGAGAGGCATGGTCGGGCTTCAAACCCGGGTCCCCTTTTGTCCTGGAAAGCCCAGGAGGAGACCTTTCACGGGTATAGCCTCACCCAGCATCTCGGGAACGGAGGCCATCAAGACTCGAGCCTGGCGGACCTGGGTTTGAACTCCAGCGCCACCCGTACATGCTGTGAAAGCTTGGAAAGTCACTTCGCCTCTTTGAGCCTCAGTGCCCTCATCTGCAAATGGGGATCATAATCCCCGTCTCATCTTAGCTCACAGCTAAATTAAACTAGATAGTGTGTGCAAAGTACTAGGCACATGGTAAGCATTCTGTATTTAAAGTACCCCCGCGCCCCGGGCGCCTGGGTCTTAGCTCACAGCTAAATTAAACTAGATAGTGTGTGCAAAGTACTAGGCACATGGTAAGCATTCTGTATTTAAAGTACCCCCGCGCCCCGGGCGCCTGGGTGGCTCAGTTGTTAAGCGTCTGCCTTGGCTCATGGGATCGAGCCCCGCGTCGGTCTCCCTGCTTGGCGGGAAGCCTGCTTCTCCCTCTCCGCTCTCCCTGCTTGTGTTCCCTCTCTCGCTGTGTCTCTCTATGTCAAATAAATAAATAAAATCTTAAAAAATAAAATAAAATAAAGTAACCCCCCCAACATAGATAGCACATAATAAAGGATCAAATCTGGAGTTAAGATTGTAAGGGCTGGAGGAGCTCACAGGAGAAGAGCAGTGGGGAGAGAAAAATTATGACACCCAAGAAGGCTTCCAGGAGGAGGTGAGACTTGAACTGGTTAAGGGGAGGGTACTCCCGGTGAGGGGCGCTGCTGAGGGAAAAGCATGGCAGTTGGGGTGAGCATGGTGTGTTCATGGGGCAGTTCTAGATCTAGAACAATCTAGATCAGAAGGAGGGTCTGGAGTAATGGGGGATGCAATTGGCCTGGGTGGGTGAGGCCCGGTGCCTAAGCAGTCCTGCTGTGGGGTTGCAGAGGTAGGAAGCGGGGAATCCTAGGTAGCTAGTCTCAGTGTCTGTCCTTCCCTGGCTCTTGTTTAGTTCTAGAGGCTGAGAAGTTGGGGGACCTCATTCATTCATTCATTCATTCATTATGTGAATCTTCCCCAAGCCCTTACTATCTTCTAGGCATGAACACAGCAGGCACATCCTTGCCCTTACGGAGCTGACCTTCCAGTGGATAGTCTTTAAACGAATAACCAAATAAACAAGATCGTTTCAGCCAGCCATAAATGCTGTGAAGACAAACGAGGTTGATCTAACAAGAGTGTGGGGGGTGGGAGTTGGGACAACCAAGGTAGAATGATCAGAGAAGACCTCCATGAGGTGGGGACATCTGAGCTGAGACCAGAATGAGAAGGAACTAGCCATGCAGAGATCTGGGGCAAGACTGTTCCTGGCAGAGGAAGGAACGTCGCTGAGGCAGGAACAGACTTGGCTTGTTCAGGGATCTGAAGGTCTGGGGCTGGAGTGCAGTGATGGCAAAGGAAAGGGCCAATCATGTAGGGCCTTGTAGGTCATGGGAAGGTGGCAGCTGTGTTCTCAGGCAGTGGGAGCTAGTGGAGGGTGTTAAGCAGGGGAGAGACATAGTCTGATTTCTGTTTTATTTATTAGAGCACAAGCAGGGGGAGTGGCAGGCAGAGGGAGAAGCAGACTCCCCACCGAGCTGGGAGCCCGACATGGGGCTTGAATCCAGATTCTGGGATCATGACCTGAGCTGAAGGCAGCTGCTTAACTGAGCCACCCAGGCATCCTCTGATTTCTGTTTTAAAAGTTCCCACTGGCTGCCCTGTGGAGTATCATCTACAAGGATCGAGGAGAATAGCAGGGAGGCTTTGGCAGTGGTAGAAGAGGGGATGTAAAGATGATGTAAGGATTAAGACCTAGTCCTTCCCTTCAGGGGTGCTCAGAATCTTATGAGCTGGGATGACAGGAAGGATCAGATGAACCTGACACTTGCTGAACCCATTCTTGACCACTTGTCACGGCCATCAATTCACTCCTTCCCTTGTAGACATTTCCTGAGTACTTGCCCTGTGCCACCAGAAGCCGGGATCCTGCCCCATTTGAGTGAGGGAAGTAAAGAAACAAGATAGTTTCAAGTAGTGATCAAAGCCATGAAGACAATAAACAGGATCATGAAGCCAAGAGGAAGGGTGGGGGTTGCCGTAGATCATAATAATAACCAACAGTTATTGGGTGCTTACCGTGTGCTAGTCCTTGTTCTTAGTGCTTTCTGTAAGCCTTACAAAAATCCAGTGGAGTGGTTTCTCCTGTTAACATCCCTGCTTTGCAGATTAAGAAACTGATACACAAGAAGATTATGTAATTTTTCCAAAGTTACACGGCCAGGAATGGCAGGGTGGAATTCCAGCTCTGGTTCTTCCCTCGGCATGACATTGCCCACAGTCCCCTCTGGCTGGGTAAGGGAGGTCTCTTTGAAGAGATGCCATTTGAGCTGAGCCTCAAATGTTGAGAAGGAGCCAGCCCTGGGAAGATAAGGTTGCAATGGAAGGAATAGCAAATGCAAAGGTCCTGGGGCACGAATGGTGACAGCTTGTCCTGAAGAAACAAGAAAGCCACTGTGGCTGGAATGTAGTACATAAAAGAGAGAGCAGAAGGAGATGTTGGAGAAGTAGCGAGGGGCCAGGTTACCTAGCCCCTGCCCGCTCTTGTGGTGAAGATTTTGTAACACCTCCCTTTACTGTCATGAAATGCAGCTCCCTTTTGATAGTGTAACTTTTATACACACAGAATATAAGAAAAATCAATGTCATGCCCTAATCATAATACAAAGGAGGACAAAAAAAAAGTATAATTAAAATAGTGTTTATTTCAATATTTAAATGTTGGGGTACGGCCAGGATGCAGTGATGTTACAATGAAGGCGTGAGATGGTTGCACCTCTGGGTGGCATCACTGGGTATGTGGCAGCCCCATGCACAGTGTGATGTGTTGGTGACTCAGGCACCCTACAAGAGGCATCACTGGTGACAGCATGGGATCCCAAGATGGTGAGCACCTCTAGGTAAAGTTTCCAACAACACATGCTAGAGTCTTTCCTTAACCTGCACGGAAGTTGCATTCCTGGAAATTTCAGTGTTTATTGACATTGTAAAAAAAAAAAAAGTGTCCTGTGTTTCTACGTGAAACAGAATGAGGCTCTAGGCTCCAATGATCCTAGCCCAGGTTTTCCCTCTGCAGATGTCTTAGGGCTGTGAAAAGTCATATGGAACGTAGGACGACTGATGGCTGTTCCTGACTGACTCACACTTTGTAGGGCTGTGGGCTTCCCTGGTCCCTGCTTGATAAATGCCAATGGGGACTTTGCCATCACACAGACAACAGAAAACATCCCCCAGAATCCCCCAGGGAATGGTGCTGCCCCCATTGAGAACCACTGACCTGGGATCGCATGGTCTCAATAAGGAGTCTAGCTTCTATCCTAAATGAAGTGAGAGGCTAAGGGGGCCTTTTAAGCAGGGGGGTGTTTTCTTCCCCGATCTGGTTCTGCTGTTTCCAACCAGCATTTGGTTGTATGTGGGGGCGCACCTGACCCACGGGGCTTGGAAACCCTGGATACTTACCTCCCGTCTTGCTTTACGTCCTGTAGCCACCGAGTATCACCTGGGCCTGCTGAAAGCAAAACTTGCCAAGTATCGGGCCCAGCTTCTGGAACCGTCCAAATCGGCCTCATCCAAAGGAGAGGGTTTCGATGTCATGAAGTCGGGTGACGCCCGCGTGGCACTGATTGGATTTCCCTCTGTGGGTAAGGTCAGTGATGGTCAGCATGGGCCTTGGGGAGGAAGCAGCTGTCCCAAACACGACTGTCTAGTGCCGCCTCTTGCTACTTTTCTGAATTAGCTCCAGGCTCCCGAGGAGACCCAGCCTCCCCCAGGATTGGGTCCCACCCCTTTATCATCCTGCCATGGCGACCATCGTTGTCTGTGTGGGGGAGAAGTGTGGCCACTCAGTCTCGGACCCATCCATCACGTACGAACGTTTACTCAGTGCGTACCCTGTGCCAGGCTCTGGGCCGGGCGCTGGTCGTACAGCAGAGAACGAGATAGTTCTGTCCAGTGAAGAGGCTGCTCAGATACAGGCTGAGGGAGCAATGACCAGGTGGCCTGGACACGTGCTGGTGGAGCAGCTTTTATTTTTTATTTATTTATTTATTTTTAAAAGCTTTTATTTATTTATTTGAGAGAGAGAGAATGAGAGACAGAGAGCACGAGAGGGAAGAGGGCAGAGGGAGAAGCAGACCCCCCGCCGAGCAGGGAGCCCGATGTGGGACTTGATCCCGGGACTCCAGGATCATGACCTGAGCCGAAGGCAGCCGCTTAACCGACTGAGCCACCCAGGCGCCCCTGCTTTTCTTTTCCCCTCTGCCTGGATAAGGGGTGTGTGTATCACAGGAGGTGGGGATCGGTCTGCTCCCTATCTACACACACACAGTGAAGGTGGGCTTATAGCTACACTGGCCACTGGCATGTTTACTTCTCCAATGTTGTCTGTTCCATTCATACATTAGAGTTCCATCACCTTGTAATGCCTGCCTAGAAGCCCCACTGTGGTCATAGTGTGATCAGCAGTCTGCTCTTTCCCTCCCGTGCCGATCGCCCGTCCTGGAGCTGCTGTCTCTGGAGGACGCATTCCTCCAAGTCAGCCCAGGGGCTCGAGGTTGTGGGTTTTAAAAATGCCCAGCAGCACTGCCATTTACCCTCCGGAGAAGCTCTAGCTGACTCCACGTGGGGATAGTTAGGAATGTCTCCGAGCATCTGCTCGCGGGATGCTGTGTCAGCACCGGGCAGCGAGCTGGGCCGCGGAGAGGTTAGAGGAAGACCCCAGCCTCGGCGTCAAAGTCCGCGGAAGCCTTCCTTCCTGGTGGCTTGTAGGTGCTTCTTACTTTTTGGGAGCACTCGTACCCCAGTTGGACGTTATTATCGATACCCATCTGGATGCACTGTCCCCTTGCCCTCCATCCGTGTGGGCTCAGGACACACAACATCCTTTTAGTTACCATCCAAGCCAGGTAGGATGAGGAGGGGAAAGTTGCTGGAAACGAGCCACTGCCGTCCGTGGCTCTTCCTCCTCCGGGCCGCTAACAGTTCATCCAGCCGACACCTCGCAGCACTCGGCGTCAGACCTGATTGCCCGTTTGACACGCAGCTTCCTGGCCAGTGCTCAGATCCCTGTAGTGACGGGGTGCTTATGACCCCTCAACTTGACAAAAGCTGGACATGGAGCAGCGCAGGGGCCTCCTGCTCAGAAGGAGCTGACGCCCGCGCTGCAGGAGCCCCTCGGTCCCCTGGGACCGTCCCCACGTGTGCCCTCCGCCGGCTGAACCCCCTCATGGTCTTCAATCCTGGCAGGGTTTCCAGATCCCTCTCTGTCTCTTTGGCCCTTTCTCATTTTTCCCCAGTTCTGTATGCTAGAATTTCCAAACACAGAAGAGGTAAAAGAACAAGTACAGTGTACCCGCTCTCTGAATCCATCGATTTTGCCAAATTGCTCCATCTCTTCAGATTTATGTCTGTGCGGGTGTAGGGGGTTTTGTTTTTGTTTTTTGTTTTGTTTTATTTTTTTTAAAGATTTTATTTATTCATTTGAGACACAGAGATACAGAGAGAGAGAGTGAGCAGGGAGAGAGGCAGAGGGAGAGGGAGAAGCAGGCTCCTCGCTGAGCCAGGAGCCCGATGTGGGGCTCGATCCCAGGACTCTGGGATCATGACCTGAGCCGAAGGCAGACGCTTAACTGACTGAGCCACCCAGGCGCCCCTTGTTTTTGTTTTGACTGACCCATTTGAGAATAAATTACAGACCTCATGCTACATGACCTTTCACCCCCAAATATTTAAGCTTGTATCTCTAAAGAATAAGGATATATTCCTACTTAGCCACAAACTGTCACACCAAACAAAATGAACAGTAATTTAGGAATGATCTAACGCCTGGACCACATTCTAATTTCAACACTCACCCCCAAATGACCTTTGTGGCTGGTCTAGGCTGTCTGGGACCCTGTATGTGTTCTCTCCACCTGCTCTAATCTAGAATGGTCCCTTTTGTCAAGATCCTAATTTTAAAGAGACCAGACGGTGGTCCAACAGAAAGTCCACAGTCTGGAGCTATCTGCTGGAGCTATCCTCCTCGTGGTGTTTTTAGCTTGTTCGTCTGTTCGTTGTATTCCTATGAGCCTAGAGTCAGGTAGGAACCCAGGACTTGTGACCAGGTTCCACATAGGAGCTGGGGTGGACCTCATTTTGTACCATGCCAAAAACCCCTGACCACTGGTTGCATTTCCAGAATGGCTTAGGGGGAGAGATACCCTGTCTCCCTTCTGCATGGTTGTGTTAGCCTCCCCCCCCAAGCCCAGACAACTGGAAAGTCCACTGCAAGGTGCTGCTACCATGGCTTGTGGAAGTCAGGCCGTCAGCATCCCCTTAGTAACCTTGACGCCAGTGAATTGTCCTTGCCTGGGAGTTTTGTTAGCTGCGGTACGATGTCAGTTTTCCAGTTCTCCTCCTCCTGCCTCACTAATTAGCTGATGTTTGTCTGGGGAGTAGCGCTTTCTCTCATCGGTGTCAGCTCTTTGGTTAGCCTGAAAAAGTTCCTGGAAAGGCAGGACGAGTGCATGTGTGCTGCCCTTCAATGACCAGCAAGATGTTGGGGTCAGAGCTGTCCCGCAGGGTGACCGGTAACTATTTTTAGGCTTTCATTCTTGGGGCATTGTTATGGACATCATCGGTTTTCACCTGTTCTGGATTTTACTTCCAACCCGCCAAGGGCTTCTTTTCCAAGCCCAGGCTCGGAGAAGTGCTTTGTTTACCAAGGGTTGTGCCCTTGAGGGTCTGGCCCTGTGGCCAGATCCCACCGCCCTGCTGGGGATCTGGGCTCTCCAGCCATGGGAGGGCCAGGCCTCCCCCTGCAGAGGCCAGACAGGGTTGGCGTTTCCTCCTGTTGGCCTGCAGCAATGGGCACTCAGGGTCTCGGCAGCCAGGGCTCTCAGGGCCACCCCACCTGCCCATACCTGTCTGCCCCACCAGGTTTTTCTCTCTCCTCAGGTTTCTGAGAGGTCCCCCGGGCGGAGAGTTTCTGGATTTGAGGCCAGTGTTTCTTTGAAGGTGTGAAGGTTGGAGTGAGAGGTGCCCCCAGCCTTCCTGGTTGCCGGAGAAGCAGGGCCAGGTGGCCTGGTCACAACTGCATCTCAGGCTGTTTGTTCCTGGTGCCCCGCTGACTAGGCTGCGGGGGACAGGAGGCCAGGGCTGGGTTTCTTCCCCCTCTGGCTCTGCCCACTGCTTTGCTGGCCCTCTGGGCCACTGCATCCATCGCTGTGGTCTCGCCACACTCTGGTCTTGGCCTGCCATGTGCCTTCTCATCTCCTTTCACCCCATGCAGCCCCCCACAGTGGGGAGTGAGCAGATGGCTAGCGTGCATACGAAGGACTTGGACGCTCTGGAGGAAGAAGTTTCTTGCCCCGGGGGAGCCCGGTCTCTCTGACTCCCAGCCAAGCCACGGGTCTGGTCCCACAATGTACCGTGGCATGAGCGTTCCCATCTAGATCCTTCCCAGCTCACCCCTTCCTGCCTGGCACTGCCTTCTCCTGCCAGCTGGCTCTGTCTCAGACCATGTCTGTCCCCTTGCACATCTCACCCCGCCCTGGGTGAGCAGCCACTTTGAGTGCCATGGGCTGTTGCCCGCTTGAAGTTCTCTGGGGCCCAGGAGGGGCTGGTGGGTTTGGTGGAGCTAGGGCGGGGGCCCCGATTTAGAAACCAGTTCCCTGTGTCCACCTGAGACAGGCCTTGAGGCCTCCAAGGAAGGGACTGGCCCTCTGGTACCCCACCCGCTCTCGGCAGGGCCAGAGGTGACATTTCCGGCTGTCTTCTATCCCCACGCTGAGGCTGAGGAGTCTCTGTGTTGCCTGCATCCGGCAGGCTCCTGGCCCGTGGGAAGCCTCCCAGGAGGCTGGGACTAGACTCCTCACTGCAATGACCTCCTTTTTCTCCTAGTCCACCTTCTTGAGTCTAATGACCTCCACAGCCAGCGAAGCTGCGTCCTATGAATTCACCACCCTGACATGTATCCCTGGGGTCATCGAAGTAAGTTGGGGTGTGCTGGATTCCAGAAGGGGGAGGGGTGTGTGCTCAGGTTTGCGGTGGTGTGGAGGGATGTGGTGTCCATGCGGAGGGAGACGGCTCTGAACTGAGCTGCTTTGCCCCAAAGCCCTGGCACTTCAGGATTCTGGCTGCTGAGACCCCAGAGATGCCTGACTGGTTCCAAGAGTCGGGCCGGCCCATGGCAGCTCTCGCTGGCGCCCCACTGTGCTCCACTGTCCCACACCGCCCCAGCTTGGGTCACTTGTTGCTGGCTGGCCGGATCCCTCTGGCTCCCATGAAGCTTCAGAGCCTGGGGCAGCTGGGGTCCCGGGGCCTGGAGCCTCCATGCTGCCGGGACGTTTTGTGGAGTGCTCTTACCATCACTGAAGACCCACTGTGGTGGGATCGTAACACCTCGAGAGCCCCTCCCCACGGCTCCTCAGCTTGCGGGAGAGGGTCTTTGCCGGGCTGGAGCGGTGAGAAGACAAGGCTTGGGCCTGGCCCCGGAGGCTGACCCCAGGGTTTCCCACAGCCCCTGCAGTGCAGGCTGTTGTAGGGCTCCTGGGCTCAGGCAGGCCCTTCCTGCAGGGACTCCTCCCCTGACCTTCTCTTCCCCATTCTAGTATAAAGGGGCCAATATCCAGCTCCTGGACCTTCCTGGGATCATCGAGGGTGCAGCACAAGGTAGGAGGTGGGGACAGGAGGGTGGGAGACAGGGTGGCTCTCAGCACCCCGGCCCACCCTTCCAGAGGGTGTTGGGTACTGGCCTCACTGTTAAAATCGGACGTGGCTCCGGGCTTGGACGGGTATGGGGAGGCTCGCAGCCTCTCACACTCCTCCGGCCTCGTACTGTCCTGGCTGGCCCCATCTGAAAGCCCAGGAAACCGAGGCCCCTCGAGGTGAGGTGACTTGCCCAAGGTCGCATAGCTCGCCTGACAGGTTTGAATTCGTTCTTCTACTCCATGGGCTCCAGCGCGGCCCTGCAGGAAACCCTGCAGGAAACCCTGCAGGGAGCGGACACCTATCAGCTGTGCTTCTCATCCTGGAGCCCCATCCTTGGTTGTTTTGGTTTTGTGTTCTGAGATGGGAACATGCCCGTGGCTTCTGGGGGCGGCCCGCAGGGGGTGCCCCGCAGCCTCGCAGAGATGGGAACCAGCTGATGGTTCTCTGGCAAGCGCTGGGCTGTGTGCTGGCCACTGTCTCAGTCCTCAGCTGGCCCTGTGACTTAGCGAGTGTCACCATTTCCTTTTCATAGCTGGGAGGAACGTCAGGGATGATAGGTAAAGGGTCTGCCCTGAATGACTATTGACCCACCAAGGGGCAGAGCTGGGGTCGGCACCTGCCTCTCTGGCTCTGTAACCCCGGCATGGCTGGGCAGCAGGGCCTCCTCCCTGCGGGTCCAGTTGCTGTCTCTGCCCTGTGCCCTCCCATACCCCACCGTCATCGGGGCAGAGTCCTGCCTACTTGGACTGGGGCAGGGGGAGTGGTGATGGTCCCCCAGGAACCTGCTGTCCCCGCTAGCATCGTGGGGCCTGTGGGTGGTCTGGCCACGGTGAGGGGAGTGTGCGGGGAGTGTCGGGAGGTAGCTGGCCCGTGAAGATCACCAGGCCCAAGTCCCTCTTTCTCAGAAGAGGGAGGCCGGTCATGGCTGAAATCTATACTACCTAGATCCTAGTGCTGTGACCTTGGCAAGATGCCTGGCTTCTCTGGTGGTCTCATAACCACAGGGTCTGATCTTTATGTGGCAGTTCCTAGAGCACCTCTTCCTGTGGCGTCTCGTGTGATCCTTTCTGCAGCCCTGTGGAGGGGGGGTGGGTTGTCGCGCCCGTTTCCAGAAAGGGCACGTGTGTTGAAATCCTCAGGCCACGCTAGCTTTGTGATCTTAGGCAAGTGAGTGAGTGTCTCTAAGCAAGGTCTCGGTTTTCTCATCTGTACAATGGGTGCTGCTGCCTGCACAGAATCGTTTTGAGGATTAGGTGAGGAAATGTTCACGAGACCTGCCGCACGGTAGGGGCAGGGGGAGAACGTTACTTCTCCTAGGGTGGCGATGTCAGATTGCCTCTCTCTGCGCGTCTCCATGAGTAAAACACCACGTGGATTAAAGAACAGCGCCGGGGAGAGCCCAGCCCAGGGCTGCCACGTGGCAGAGACCACGGCGGAGCTGTTAAGGACAGGAGTCTGGGGCCCTGTGGGCGGGGGGGCGTGCCTCTGTCACCGTGTGACCCCATCTCTTCCCCCCGTCCAGGGAAAGGCCGTGGCCGGCAGGTGATTGCTGTGGCGCGCACGGCTGATGTCGTCATCATGATGCTGGACGCCACCAAGGGAGAAGTGCAGAGGTCCGCGGGGTGGTGTGCTGGGGGGGCAAACTGATACATCTGGGGAGGCCCCTGGGCGGGCTCGTGGGATGCTGTGGCTACCTCTGCTGTGTCCCTGAACTCGCGATGGGTGGCCCAGGGGCTGCTTGGGCCCCTCCCCCTGGCAGCAGTGGCAGGCCTGTCCGCAGGCTAAACCCGTGCGGTCAGCCTGGAGCATCCTCTCGGAGAGGCTCGCATCTGGCATGGAGGCGTCTGGAGGCTGAGGACTGCGCTGTGCCGGCGGAAGCCTCTGCCACCGGCCCCCAGCTGGCACAGGCTGTCCTGGCTCTGGCTCCTGCCTGCCGAGGCTGAGGTGCCTCAGTTGCTGCCCAGAACCCACCGGGAGCCCAGCCCCAAGCAGCAGCTTTATTCGTGCCCTGACCTGCTGGCTGAGGGGCACACCGGGCCTCCCTCTGTGGCTCCAGAAGGTCCAGAGGCTCCCCCTCTGCAGCTTTGGGTTGTTGGGAAGGAACATTCTGGGTTCCTAGTGGTGGGTAGGAGGGCACTGGTCTCCCTCCGGGTGGGCAAGGGCTTCCTGTGGACCATGGAAGCCATCCGGCCTGCCTCTGGGCACTTGTGGAGGCTCATGGGGGCTCTACCCAGGTCTCTGCTGGAGAAGGAACTGGAATCAGTGGGTATCCGCCTGAACAAGCACAAGCCCAACATCTACTTCAAGGTGAGGCCCCTCACCTGTAGGCCAGGCCTGGGCAGGTTTGGGATGATTGCCGCTGCCCCTTGGTGAGCAGCTCTCCCTCCCTCTCTTCTCCAGCCCAAGAAAGGTGGTGGCATCTCCTTCAACTCAACAGTCACGCTGACCCAGTGCTCAGAAAAGCTGGTGCAGCTGATCCTGCATGAGTACAGTATCCTTTCCAAAAAGCAGCAAGGGAGGGGCAACGTGAGACAGAAGGCCTTGTGGCCCAGGATGCTAACAGACCACACCCCAAGCCACCCCGGATCCATCCGAGCAGCCACCAGGAAGGCTGCAGCCCGGTGACATGGGGCACTTCCTGTCCCCTTCGCCTCTGTGCTCACCAGGCTGCAGGCTGCCTGGGCCACAGCCGTGTACTCAGCAGGGCCTTCCTGACTCCCTGCCAGGTTCTAGGCACTGGTAGCCAGTCACATCTGGAAGGAAGGTGAGATGGTGAGGGAAACAGCCCCCAAGGACAGAGTTCCTGGCCTGGGGAAGCCTCAGGGAGAACCAGGGGCCTGACTGTTCATTGCTAAAGTAACGTTGGGGGCCTAGGTGAGTCTCTGGAGGACCCTGGAGGACGGGGCAGAGCCCCAGAGGTAGAGGAGCTCAGCATATGGAGAACTCACCATGGGACAGGCTGTCTGCGAGGTCGTGAGGCCCCTGTCACCACAGGTATGCAAGCAGAGGCAGGGTGGTCTCCAGAGGAGAGCTTTGCACCGGGGAAGGTGGGTTAGAGTGGTGCCTGCAGACAGTGCTCTTGGCACTGAAGCCTGGGGTTCCACTGAGGATTCTGGCAAGTACATTTTTCTTCTTGCCTAACTGTGAAGATCGAAGCCACTGATTGAAACTTTACATGTTCTGGTTCCTTTTGAAAAAAAAAAAAAGAGGGCACTCCCCAAGCTTTACCATCTTGTACAACCTCCGAGGCAGATGCCCTCTGAGGTCCCTTGCAGCACTGTGTGTGTTTCTTGGCTGGCCGTTCCGGCCCCTCCGCTGCGGGGACACGAGGAGCTGCAGGTGCACAAGTGACCCTTAATCCGAGCCCCTCAGAGATCTTCAACGCGGAGGTGCTCTTCCGAGAAGACTGCTCCCCGGACGAGTTCATTGATGTGATTGTGGGCAACCGGGTGTACATGCCCTGCTTGTATGTAAGTGGCACCAGCCCCCAGGGTGCGCGTGCGGGAGGGAAGCTCGCCAGGGGCCGACCTGGATGCGAGGCAGCCTTCCCAGAGGAGCAGGAAGAGCCTGGGGCTGCCTCCACCCTCGCCTCCCCTGTCCCCTGGGGGCTGCGTGAGGCTTGCACACCTGTCTAGCTTGACACCGGGGCTCTAGTCCTGCCTTCCCTTCTGGGCGTGGACAGCGGCCTCAGGCCCCTGCAGCCTTTCCCCATCCTTGAGGCGGTAAGGAAGGGAGGACATGGGCATTGGCATTGCGCCGAGGCCCGCAGAGGGAGGAACTGTGGGCCGAGCCGAGGCACTTGGGGACCCATTTCCTGCACTACTTTGTTCCATTCCTTCCCCAACACCTACCTCCCCGGTCTCAATCCCAGGTTTATAACAAAATCGACCAGATCTCAATGGAGGAAGTGGACCGCCTGGCCCGGAAGCCCAACAGTGTGGTCATCAGGTGAGCTCTCGGCTGCCCTGAATCCTTCGGGTATGTGAGCTCATCAGGGCTCCTGGGCACCTTGGGCCATGCAAGCCCCCCATGTGCGCCCGGGGCAGAGGAGACCATCTCAGTAACGGCTTTGACCTGGTCCTACCCTGGATCGGCCTGGGCAGAGTGGGTGATGTGCGGTGGGCTCTGCTTAAGAAAACAGAAGGGAGGGGCGCTTGGGTGGCTCAGTCGTTAAGCGTCTGCCTTCGGCCCAGGTCATGATCCCGGGGTCCTGGGATCGAGTCCCGCATCGGGCTCCCTGCTTCGCGGGGAGCCTGCTTCTCCCTCTGCCTCTGTCTCTCTGTCTCTCATGAAGGAAGGAAGGAAGGAAGGAAGGAAGGAAGGAAGGAAGGAAGGAAGGAAGGAAGGAAGGAAACAGAAGGCAAATAGTAAAGAAGGAAGGAAGGAAGGAAACAGAAGGGAAATAGTAAGGAAGGAAGGAAGGAAACAGAAGGGAAATAGTAAGGAAGGAAGGAAGGAAGGAAGGAAACAGAAGGGAAATAGGAAGGAAGGAAGGAAACAGAAGGGAAATAGTACCACCGATGTAGATGTATTAATAATCACTAAGAGGCTTCGGAGCCTAGTAGTTAAGGGCAGGCCTCAGAAAGCCCAAGAGTGTGAGCCAGCTGCTCCTGGTCCTCTGGAAGATGCGGCTTCCACGGCGTCCACGGCATCCCCGGCATCCACGGCATCCTCGGCGTCCTCCGCGCCCATGGCGGGCAGCGTGGGCAGTAAGGGGAACCCAAGTCGTCGGGTGGGTGGGGCCATCCTGGCCCCGCCCCCCGGCCCTGCTTGGACCGATGGGTCCTGGGGGTGCCGCCGGCACTGTGGCTGAGGGCTGTTTGTTCTCTGATCACCATCCCTGCAAATTCCTCCTTTAGAGCAGCCTCGGGCTCCACTCTGCTGGCAGCACAGCTCAGACAAGGCTTACGGGAGCCGGATGCTGAGGGACCAGGTGGGGTGACTGGTGCAGATGATGGGTAAGGGTCCTGGACCGTCTCCCGGGCCTTGCCGGCTACTGCCAAGAGCAGCAGAGAGCGGGCGTCCTTCCTGAAGGACAGCTCAGTTCCTCTCCTGCAGCTGCGCGCCAGGCTCCTTTCAGGGGCTGCGCGAGGACAGGCTGGTCCTCCGGGCCTGAGGTCACCTCCACACACACCTTCACCTGCTGTGCTCACAGCGTGTCAGCGGAGGTCAGGGTACCCGCTCAAGGTCACGCCTCCGCAAACGATGAAGCCGGGGGCCGTGCCATCACTGACAGCCCCACTGGGCTGCCCTGTGCCCGTCACTGTCCTCCAGCACCTGGCAGGAGGGAAGCCCCCCCAGAGCACCGCAGAGACCCCCAGGAGAGACAGCCGAGCTCTCCTGGGCATGACCGTGGCTGTGACCAGAGGCGCGGGCAGCTGAAGTGTCAAGCTACTGTCGGATCTGCGGGCTTAGTCTCCCACGGGTGCCCGCTGGGCCGCCCTGGCCCCGGTGCCCTGGCCTCCGAGCCCGCGGGGGCTGCTCTGACTGGCCGCCTTCCTCCCTGGCAGCTGTGGCATGAAGCTGAACCTGGACTACTTGCTTGAGATGCTTTGGGAGTACCTGGCCTTGACCTGCATCTACACCAAGAAGAGAGGACGTGAGTTCGGTGGCGGGTGGCCCTGGGCCGAGTCACCGTTCCTGTGGGGCTGCCAGGCTCTGCCTGTGGCACCCAGAGGGCCCAGTGCCCCCGGCTCAGCGTGTCCCGTACAGACTGCAGCTCTTCTGCCATCTCAGAACTGGCACTGCCCTCGGCCCCAGGCTGCTAGAGCCCTCGGCTGAGCCTTTACAGAATGCCGCTCTCTGGGGCCGTTGGCCTGGTCTTGGGGACGCCCCCCGGGGTGGGGGGGGCAGCAGGCTAGAGGCCGGCCCGTGGTTCCCCACGGGCTACAGTGATCACCCCCCTCCCACGCCGCCTGGGTCAGCACTTGAGGCACGTGAATATAGAGGAGCCTTCACCATGCCCCCCCCATCCACCCCTTGGGGCAACGTCTCACACCCTGTGACCGTGCGGCTGGGTTCTGGCAGTTTGCGTGGCATTGACCTTGTCGGCAAGGGAGAAGCTGCAGCTGCCCCGGACTGGTCACCAGCAGCTGTCACGTCTTGACAGTGCTGTCCAGAGGCTCCGCGTGGCTGCACTTAGTTAGGGCTCTCGTGGCTGGTGGGGTTGCAGGCCGCCTGAGTCCTGGACGTGGATTTCTGTTGACTTCCTGTGTTAAGGTCAAGGTTGGAGAACACCACACAAGGATCTGTAGGGAGGGTGTGCCAAGTGGTGAGGGGAAGGCTAAGCCAAGGCTGGGGGCTGGAAGGGCCTCTGTCCCCTGGTGGAAGGCAACCACAGGGCAGCTTGGGGCCATAACTGGTTGCCTCCCTGTCCCCCCACCTCCGATCTCTACCTTTGCAGAGAGGCCAGACTTCACAGATGCCATCATCCTCCGGAAAGGGGCCTCCGTGGAGCATGTGGTGAGTTGCCAAGATGTGTCCAGACAGTGGGTCAGGGAGCTCTCCGTGCCCGCTGCGGGGTTTGGCCGGAGGCTCTGCCAGCCTTTCGCTGATGTGGGTCACCTGCTGTGGTAGCAGAGTGGCTGTGGGCAGGCTCCGGAGTTAGACCTGGGGTCGCCTCCCAGCCACCATTCCCAGCCGCATAGCGAGCCCCCAAGCCTCCCCCGGAGGCAGGGGTGTGCCGCCCACCCCAGTGGTGGTGTCTCCCTCCTATCACACACTGCTGCCCTGGGGCATCTCTGTATTGTTAACTCCAAGTTGTGTTTCCCCAGTGCCGGCCTGTGGCTCAGAGTAGCTGCCTCCATGCCCTTGGCCCCTCCTGGCTTCCTGTCCCCCAGTCAGCCCCCCGCGGCCCTCCCTGCTCCCACATCCTGCCCCGCCCCCCCAGCCCCGGATGGCTCTGAATGCTTTTTGCACTCAACACACATTTACTGAGCACGTGGGTAAAGCACTGAGTAAACAACGCAGCCCCAGTTCCGGCCAGAATGGGGTCCTTCAGGGTCAACAGATGCCAAACACCCAATGGCAGAGCTAAGAGGTCACCCCTAAGGGGGAGTGCAACAAAGTAAGGCAATGGGGAGTGACCCTGGGTCTACACAGAGAGGCCACATGGTCTCAGGGGAGGGGACCTGATTGGGCCTGTAGACCAAGGAGGACCTGACTGGGATGAGTTAGGGGTGGTGGAAGCCCTCCCAGGCAGGGGAGCGAGGTATGCAAAGGTCCTGAGGCAGAGGGGCGCTGGGCTGAGCCTGTGGGCTCAGGGAGAGGAGTGTGGGTTCCATATCTGGAGTTTTGTTGCAGGCCCAAAGGTCACCTGTCCCAGAATGTGACCCTGCACCACTTTTTACGAAGGCACATGGGCCCTGCAGGAGCAGGTGACAGCCCAAGAGCCTGGGACAGTGTACCAGGTCACACAGACAACTTAAGGCTTTGGTTTTGGCGGGTTTTGTTTTCCATCTAGCTCATTTCTTTTCAGGATCTGTCCGGTGGACGGGTGGTGGGCTGGCCTACAGGCTGTGCTCCCGCATTCATTCATTCAGCAAGCCCAGCCTGAGGCCCCTGCCAGCTAGAGGCCCCAATACAAACAGGCGGGGTTCGGCCTTGAAGGCCAGCATGGCTGGCAGAAGCCACATCCCTTAGATGACTCATAAGAAGCTCTGTGGGGGAGTCCCTGTCCCTGCAAGCCTGTTTCAAAACCTGTGGCAGAGGTGTGTCCTGGGGACTGAGCAGCTGTTGGTATGGGGGGCCCCATGTGCTAGTCCTCTGTGGGGTTCCCCTACTCCCCCTGTGGGTACTTTCCTCTACCCGCTCATGTCCTGGCAGCTTGCCCAAGAGGATGTAGGACTTCAGCCACTCCAGGAAGAAAAGCGGGAGATAGCAGGAGAATGGTTTTCTAGGCAGGGGGAATAGCAGGTGCAAAGGCCCAGAGGCAGGAGCGAATGTGGGGAATGCTCGCTGTTTGCCATCAGCTGCCCGGAGGGCCAGAGGCAGGAGGGGCTAGACCTAAGGGTGAGAAGTGCCCAGTGGGGTGGGGAGGGGTTTGGGGGGCCCGGTTCCAGAGCCTGGACTCTGTCCGCGAGAGCCTTGCTCTTCAGTGGTCACCTCCTCCCTGCTCGCTCTCCGCATGGGTGCCTCCCTCCTGGGACACCCAACTGTCCCAGGTGCCACAGGGTATACGAGAAGGCCTGCCTGGATGCCGACAGCAGGGGCCCAAAGTAGAGGAACCACGTAGACACTGGAGCCAGGCAGACGCAGGGTCATAGCCTGGTTCCCCCATACTGTGTCAGCCTCCCTGTGCCTCAGTTTCCTCTTCTGGGCATAACAGCCCCAGCCCCAGGGCCTCTGTAATGCACCCAGCCTCGGCCCTGGTATGCATTCAGTAAGAGCTGAGGAAGGCCTTGCCTCCAAAAGGGTCGTGGGCCATAAGCCCCCAAAGCAGCGAGGGCCTCGCAGGGCTGTCAGCAGTGAGAGGCGCGGTGGGCACGGAGGAGCAGGAGTGTCCCCATCATCAAACAGTATGCTCTCTCCCCTCGTAGGAAAGATGGCCTGGGATGACCTTCCATTGTCCCCCACTGCTAGAGACAAGTGCAGAGAAAGGTAGAGGAGGCCCAGAGCAGGTGGGAAATGTTCTCTCAGGCTCAGCATCCGCACAGGAGTGGGCGCCGAGGCATCGGGGCTCTGGCCAGGACCCACAAGGCTTGCGGGCACCGGGGGGGAGAGGCAGTACCACACGGCCTTCCCTCCAGCCCCCCTCCACTGCGCCTGCCCCCCGATCTCAGGGGGAAGAGCTGCCCACCCCGCAAGGCCCCCTCCTTCCAGCTTCCTTTAGAAGCCCTGGGGTTCCAGAGGTGGGGCTGGATGATGTCCTGGGCGGGCGGCTCCAGGTGCCAGCTGTGACGGTGACCAGGTGTGACTCCAGGCTGAGGTGCGGTGTCCGGAAAACCACCCCTACCCATCCGAAGGAGCATCTGTCAGGGGTGTCACTCAGGCAAGGCTGGCAGGAAGGCTGCTGACAGCCAGATCCAGACCTTCTTCTAAAGCCTTCAAGAACATTTTTTTTTTAAGGATTTTATTTACTTATTAGAGAGAGAGCACAAGCAGGGGGAGTGGCAGGCAGAGGGAGAAGCAGGCTCCCCGCGGAGCAGGGTGCCCAGTGCGGGGCTCAATCCCAGGACCCCGGGATCATGACCTGAGCTGAAGGCAGACGCTTCACCGACTGAGCCACCCAGCGCCCAGGGTTTCGAGAACATTTCTAATGGGCACCACAACCTTTGGGCCAGCCTGGAAGTGGGAGCATCAGAACAGCCTGCAGCCATGAACACGAGACTGGATCGAGCCTGTGGTGTTCACAGGCCACGGCTCTGAGCATCTGCCAGCAGAATTGCTGCTTCTTGGCACCTGCCTGGGGCTTGGGTGTGTGGCCAAGCTCGGTGGGCTCGGGTAGAGACTCCTCTCACTGTCCCTCTCTCCCATCCTCCAGTGCCACCGCATCCACCGGTCACTCGCCAGCCAGTTCAAGTACGCGCTGGTGTGGGTGAGTCTCTGGGCCGGAGATGGGTGGGGGTCCTGCCCAGCATCGCCCCCGGGTTGGGCGGGGGCACGGCGTTCGTGCTGCTCTGTGCGGTGTCCCAGTTCAGGGGCGTGCGTGCTGACCCCTGCTGGCCTCTCCCACTTTGGGATCCGGGGATGGTCAGGCCCCTGGGGACATCTGCCAGTGCTGGGGTCCCCACTTCAGACTCTAGCGTTTACAGCCCCCCCAGCGTACCTACAGCCCCCCGCACCTTCCTCCTGTAATAGCTATACTAGGCGTGGCCCTGCTCAGGACAGAGGCTGACGTGGCCCCTTTGTCCCCTGCCTAGGGCACCAGCACCAAGTACAGCCCGCAGCGGGTGGGCCTGACCCACACCATGGAGCACGAGGACGTCATCCAGATTGTCAAGAAGTAGTGCCTCCTGCTGGGCCCCCTGCCTGCCCACCCTTTCTCCCCCGGGGAGTCGGACCTGGCCGGACACACCAAAGCCCAAACAGGAAATTCATACAAATACATACACCCCAGGAAGGGGTCTCTCAAGTCTCTGCTGTTTCTGGAAGTTTCTTCAGTAGGCAGATGATGAAGAGTGTATTGGGGCAGAGGGACATGGTTGGGGAACTTGGGCTGGGCTGGTGGCATTTGCCACGAGACTGGCCCCTTGGGTGGGGGTTCTGTGTTTGGAACACTGGGCCTGCGCCCTGCCCCTGGCCCCCGCTCAGGCACCAAGGGGGCAGGTTGCCCCCCCTACCCTGCAGCCAGGGCCTCATGCAGACGGCTTGCTCAGTGCTGGGGCTCAGAGCCGAGCCTGCCCGGGTCCCTGGGAGCTGTAGTTTCTGTTGGGGCGGGTCCCTGGGAGCTGTAGTTTCTGTTGGGGCACCTTGGGCCTTCAGCTCCTCCCAGCCTGCCTGACACTCGGGGAGGGGGCCTCCCAGGACAAGCCCTCTGCCCCGCCCCAGGGCTGCTCCATGGTGGCCTTAAGCCCCAGCTCATGCCCTCCTCAGCCCGAGGAGTCCTGATATACTACACTCCCAGGGCCACCCCTGCCTAGCACTGACCCCGCGACCCGGGGCCTGCACAGACGCCTGGAGTGGTGGCTTTGGTGTTGGGTTTCTGTACTTTCCCCCCAAGCCCCTGGTCTTGGCTCTCCTTTCTACAATAAAGAGTGGAAACAATCCCTGTTCAGACTGAGGACAGTTCTGTCAGTTTGCTGAACTCTGTTGCCAGGCTGGGTCAGGGCCAGCCACGAGCCTGGTGACCTGAGGATGGCTGGAGCCTGGGCTGTGGCAGAGCAGGCCCAAGTCTGGGGTACAGAGGAGAGTGTGGGGGACCTCCAGGGTGCTCTCTGCCCTGGAGGGTTGGCTAGGGACCGTGGGCCCCAGATGCGGCACCTCCTGAGGCCAGGCCTGGCTGCCAAGGTGGGCAGAATTCTCAGAAGGCCCTTGTGGCTTTCGGGGTGGCAGGGAGGCTCCCCTGTGAGAGCAAGGTAGCCAGGTCTATCATCTGTCAGCTCAGCAGGCAGGGCTGGACGGGCCTTGGTATGGTGCCAAGGAGTGGCAGCAGGTGGTCAATGAGCCCCTGCATGCCAGGGTTGGTGTGGGGCCATCCTAGCAGCCTGTTCTCCAGGGGCAGCAACTTGCCCTGGGCTTCTACAGCTTGTAAGTGCAGAGCTGGGATTTGAACCCCAGCTGGGGCTTCTGAGCCACAGGGAGGCTTCCCGGAGGAGGTGGGCCTTTTGAGAGTGAATCATAACAGGTTTTGTGGGGCTCCCAGGCACTGGGCTGGCAGGAGGCGGTGAGGGCTTCCCCGGGGGTCTTCAGGTCCAGCTGGGCTGTGGAGCAGGCCCCCTGCCCCGCTTTCCAGGCTGTTCCTGGCTCCTCTGTCAGCTGCTCGGGCTCCTTTCCTGAGACAAAACAGGAATAATAGACATCATTAAATATACATGGGGCCCCAGGCGGTCGGCGTGGTGGGCTGGGCCTCCTTTCCCCGCAACACTGAGCTGCTCTGCTGGGCTGGCCATGCTCCTGGGGCCAGCCACAGGACCCCCATTAGGCGGCATGCAGGCAGGGAGCAGGCCACGGGACCCAGGTAAGAAGAGCCCGGCCCTGGGCCCTTGGGGTCTGCTACAAGTACCTCTCCCCGGGTTGCAGGGAGGGGAAGAAGGGAGAGGGCAGTGGGCCTTGCCCCTAACTCACAGTGAGGCGCTCCCTGGGCCTCGGTTTCTTCATCCATAAAATGGGCGTGATGCCCACACAGTTCCCCTCTCAGTGAAGGTCGGATGCCAAGACAGGTAAGTGCTCCGTGGCTTACCTCAGCCCTTCTCCCCACGGCCACCAGGCCCGGCCACGAGGTCCCACGTAAGGGTTTCCACCTGGGTGATGGTCACTGCTACTTCTTGCCTTGCGGGTAGGGAAGGGCCCCTTGTTCACAGAGCATCAGATCCAGGCCTATTCTGTGCACCAGGCCGGCTGGGAAAGGGTGGGAGATGAGGCCAGAGGTCCTCAGGCAGTATGGGCTTCGGGCAGGCATTGCCAAGGGTCTCCAGCCACTGGGCCACCGTGTTCTCCACCACGGACGGGCTGTTTCCTGGGCCAGGTCTGTGCGTCCATAGGTCCGGGCAATCTGCTTCTCTGTGTTGAATGTTTGGCTCTCTGGATGGGTGGCTGGCATGGTTATGCTGTCTGGACCCGCGTGAGAGCCGAAGGAACCACATACCGTGCACACCCAGGTCGGTGTGAACTGACAGCTTGCAGAGGGGTGTCCTTAGGGCTGAAGAAGCCCCTCAAGAGCCCCTGAGGTCCCTGCCCCCCCCCCACCAGGGTGAGTGCCAAGCGTTGGGCCCCGCCCTAGACGGCCACCCTGTTCCCACCGCTCACCCTCCCTGGGCCTTCTTCTGTGCGGGGAGGCTCCGGCCAGGCTGATCCGAAGCCCCTTCCTGCTCAGAAGATCGTGAAGGTCAATGATACCCACGCCCTCACTCAGGCCCGTCCACAGACCACAGGGCTGCATTCCCAGAGGGCCCAGCCTGCAGCTTGATATGACTGGGGGGGGGGGGGGGGCGCAAAGGAGCCCAGGGCATGAATATTCATCCACATCTGTGTGTTTCTGTCCGTGTCCCTCCTGTTCAGCTTAGATTCCATGCTTCCTCATTTCAGAAACCTCCTTTGCAAGAATCCCTCCCGCTAAAGCTCATCTGCCCTCAAGATCCCCTCTGGCCTGGCCCCAGGAGCGGGGCTGGGGGGTTTGTACCATCTGTTGCGGAGGGTCCCCCCACAGCAAGGCCTGCCTCAGGTGCTCCCTCGGCAGCTCTTCTAACCGCCTCTGCTCCCCTTGAACCCCAGCTGGGAAACTCCTCATCTTCTCCAAACGCTCCAGCTCATCCACACCTCACACCTTCACACTGCATGGATGACTCAGCCTCCCTCTGTTTGTCTCAATTTCTCTCTCTCTCTCCTGGGTCGGTCCCACTGATTTGCCAACTAATCTGTATTAGTTTGCTCGTGCCGCCATAATGAAATATCACAGACTGGCGGTCCTAGACAATAGAAATTGGTTTCTTGATCCCTGACAGCCCCCCGTGCATGCTGTCGTTCTGGAGGCTGGAAGTCTGTGATCAAAATGGCAGGGTTGGTTTCTCCTGAGGCCTCTCTCCTTGACTCAGAGGCTCACAGCACCCTCATCCGGCCTTTTGTCTGTGCGCCTCGTCCACTGAAAAAATTATGAGCCCCTGGACATGTCATTCCCTGTGGCCACCTGCTTTTCGTGGCTTAGCTCCTCCAAGTACCCCTCCCCCATGTCAATCTCACCCACCAGCTCTCCCCAACATGCTGCCTAAACAGCTCCTGCCCCGGCCCGATGTCACTCGTTTCTAGACAGCGACCATTTCTAACCACATTTACCTGGCCCAGCAAGCTTGGCACAGTCAGTAAGGGCCGGAGTGGGAGACCCCCTACTTCTTGCTCTGTCCTCCTACACAGGCTCACCCCCACCCCCTGCCTCTGTTTCATCTGACCTGTGGATCTAAATTTCCCTGACTCCTCATCTGGACATCTCATGGTGCCCCCAAGTCCTAGAACAAACCCCATCCTTCGCCACACGGTGGCCCAAAAGCTTTTCCCACACCACTTTCCAAGAAGCAATGTGAGGCAGTGGTTGAGAGCATGGACACTCAGGAGCCAGACTTTCCAAGCTCGAATCCCGTTTCAGGCTGTGTGGCCTCAGGCAACTCACTAGACTTCTCTGGGCCTGTCTCCCCACCTGTAAAGTGGGAAGAATAGTACCTACTTCCCGAACTCGTAGTGAGGGTTGAATGAATGCTGTGTGGCCGGGTAGTTCTCACTTCCTCGCTGGGGGTTCTCTGCTGGGTGATGGAACCTCTGTAATCCAGAGCCCTTCATCTACAGGATGGTAAGAGCAGTTCCCACTTTACATACCGTGCGAATCTAGTAAGATACTAGAGCAAAGCATTCCAGACCAACCCTGGCCCACAGTAAAACTTGCCAGTGTTGGTTTTGTTATTTTCAAAATGCATATGTGGTCTTGGCACTCCTGACAGCCTAAAACCCTTCCGAGGCTCCCCACTACTTTAGGGATAGAGACCAAAATCCCACCCCAGCCTCCAGGTCTCATGGGGCAGGTCCCTCCTGCCATCCTGGCCGCTTCTCACTCCACATGCTCTGCATCCCTTTGCCCCTCTCACCACTTGGCCTTTGCACATGCTGTTCCACCTGCCTGGAACATTCTTCCCTCTTTCATTTGATTCGCTCCCTCTCATCCTTCAGATCTTGTCTCAGGGTCACCTACTCAGGGGCACCTTCCTGGTCTTCCAATGCACTGTTCGCCCACCAGGGTTGTGGTGGGCCTGGCCTCCAGAGCCCTGCTCATGGCTAGCAGTGTCCCCCTTGGGGTGGCTCTTTGCTTCAAGTCTGTGTCCCTGTGACCCTGGGAGTTCCACGAACACAAGAGACTGTGGCTGGTTCCACTCAACTGTGGGAGCCCCTAGCACCCAACACAGTGGCTGGCACCGAGACCCACAACCAACATTGAGGAATGAATGGATGGGTGAGAACCTTGATCCCCGACAGCCCCCCCGTACATGCTACCGAGGCCGGGGACACTGAGAGGGAGATGGGACCCACACCCACCGGAGAAGGGGCAGCCCTGGCTGACTGGGGCCACTCTCCCCATAGCCTGGGGGCAAGCCTGGGCCCCAGACACCAGAAAGGACCATGGGAGCAGGCCCTGCTGCCCACAGTAACCCAGACCACCTGCCCAGAGCAGACAGGATGCCATAATGATGGCAGTTTACCCCAGGCTAGGCTCTCGAATTCAGTGCTTGCATCAGCCCTGCACGGAGAAGGGGCCATCAGCACCCACACTTACGGACGAGGAGACCTAGGTGCAGAGGCTGCATGACTTGCTGTGGTCAGATCCAGGACAGGAACGGGACCTGACCCAGGGCTCTGAGCCACCCCGCTCCACATCTGCTGGGCTCCCTGGAGCGCCGTGGGCCCTCCTGCAGCAGCATGGTTCACCTCTCTGAA